CGTTGCATATTTTCAGACCACAGTGCTTTGAAATTTGAACTCAATCACAAGAGGAAATTTGGAAAGAACTCAAATACAGGCTAAAGAGCATCCTGCTAAAGAATGAATGGGTCAACCAGGAAATTAAAGAAGAATTTAAAAAAAAAATTCATGGAAACAAATGAAAAATGAAAACACAACTGTTCAAAGTCTTTGGGATGCAGCAGAGGCAGTCCCAAAGGGAAGTACATAGCAATACAAGCCTTTCTGAAGGAACAAGAAAGTTCTCAAATATACAACCTAACCTTACACCTAAAGGAGCTAGAGAAAGAACAGCAAATAAAGCCTAAACCCAGCAGGAGAAGAGAATTAATAAAGATTAGAGCAGAAATCAGTGAAACAGAAACCAAATGAAACTAGGAGATGGTTCTTTGAAAGAATTAATAGGATTTGATAAACACCTGGGCAGACTTATCAAAAAGAAAAGAGAAATGACCCAAATAAATAAAATCGTGAATGAAAGAGGAGAGATCACAACCAACACCGAAGAAATAAAATTATAAGAACATATTAGGAGCAACTATATGCCAATAAATTAGGCAATCTGGAAGAAATAGATGCATTCCTAGAGATGTATAAACTACCAAAACTGAACCAGGAAGAAATAGAAAACCTGAACAGACCCATAGCCAGCAAGGAAATTGAAGCAGGTATCAAAAATCTCCCAATGAACAAGAGCCCAGGGCTGGATGGCTTCCCTGGGGAAATCTACCAAACACTTAATAAAGAATGAATACCTATTCTTCAGAAGCTCTTTCAAAAAACAGAAATGGGAGGAAAACTTCCCAACTCTTTCTATGAGGCCAGAATTACCTTGATCCCAAAACCAGACAAAGACCACACCACAAAGAATTACAGAGCAATATCTCTGATGAACATGGACACAAAAATTCTCACCAAGATACTAGCCAATAGGATCCAACAGTACATTAAAAGGATTATTCCCACCATGACCAAGTGGGATTTATTCCTCGGCTGCAAGGGTGGTTCAACATCTGCAAATCAATCAATGTGATACACTACATTAAAGAAAGGACAAGAACCATATGATCCTCTCAATAGACACAGAAAAAGCATTTGACAAAGTACACCATCCTTAAAAAAAAAAAGATTTTATTTAGTCATTTGAAAGAGACAAAGAAAGCACAAGCAGGGGGAGAGGCAGAGGGAGAGGGAGAAGCAGACTCCCAACTGAGCTGGGAGCCCAACGTGGGGCTTGATCCCAGGACCTGGAGATCATGACCTGAGCCAAAGGCAGATGCTTAACCATCTGAACCACCCAGGTGCCCCTACACCATCTTTTCTTGATTAAAACTCTTCATACTGTAGGGATAGCGGGAACATACCTCAATATCATAAAAGCCATCTATCAAAAGCCCACTGCAAATATCATTCTCAATGGTGAAAAACAGCTCTTCCCCTAAGGTCAGGAACACAGCAGGGATGTCCACTCTCACCACTGTTGTTCAACATAATACCAGAAGTCCTAGCCTCAGCAGTCAGACAACAAAAAGAAATAAAAGTCATCCAAATCAGCAAAGTCAGACTCTCACTCACTCACAGATGACATGAGACTCTATGTGGAAAATCCAAAAGACCACCCCAAAATTGCTAGAACTCAAACAGGAATTCAGCAAAGTGGCAGGATATAAAATCAATGCACAGAAATCAGTTGCATTCCATTACACCAATAATGAGACAAAAGAAAGAGAAATTAAGGAGTCAATCCCATTTACAATTACACCCAAAACCATAAGATACCTAGGAATAAACCTAACCAAAGAGGCGAAGGATCTATACTCAGAAAACTTTAGAACACTCATGAAAGGAATTGTGGAAGACACAAAGAAATGGGAAAACATTCCATGGATTGGAAGAACCAATATTGTTAAAATGTCTATGCTACCTAAAGCAATCTATATATTCAGTGCAATCCCTATCAAAATACCATTAACGTTTTTCACAGAGCTGGAACAAATAATCCTAAAATTTGTATGGAACTAGAAAAGACCCCGAATAGCCAAAGGAATGTTGAAAAAGAAAACCAAAACTGGTGGCATCACAATTTCAGACTTCAGACTTCAAGCTCTTATTACAAAGCTGTAATCATCAAGACAGTATGGTACTGGTACAAAAACAGACACATAGATCATTGGAACAGATCAATGGAACCCAGAAATGGACCCTCAACTCTATGGTCTACTAATCTTCAGCAAAGCAGGAAAGAATATCCAATGGAAAAAGGACAGTCTCTTCAACAAATGGTGTTGGGAAAGTTGGACAGAGAATGAAACTGGACCATTTCCTTACAAGATACACAAAAATAGACTCAAAATGGGTGAATGACCTAAATGTGGGATAGGAACCCATCAAAATCCTAGAAGAGAATACAGGTAGCATCCTCTTTGTCCTCAACTGCAGCACCTCTTGCTAGACATGTCTTCAAAGGCAAGGGAAACAAAGGCAAAAATGAACTATCGGGACTTCATCAAAATAAAAAGCTTTTGCACAGCAAAGGAAACGTTCGACAAAACCAAAAGACAACGAACAGAATGCGAGAAGATAAGGGTGCCTGGGTGGCTCAGTGGTTAAGCGTCTGCCTTCGGCTCAGGTCATGATCTCAGGGTCCTGGGATCGAGCCCTGCATCGGGCTCCCTGCTCCGCGGGAAGCCTGCTTCTCCTTCTCCCACTCCCCCTGCTTGTGTTCCCTCTCTCGCTGTCTCTCTGTCAAATAAATAAATAAATTAAATCCTTAAAAAAAAAAAAAAGAATGGGAGAAGATATTTGCAAATGACAAATCAGATAAAGTACTAGTATCCAAAATCTATAAAGAACGTCTCAAGGTCAACACCCAAAGAACAAAAAATCCAATCAAGAAATGGGCAGAAGATATGAACAGACATTTCTGCAAAGAAGACATCCAAATGGCCAACAGACACGTGAAAAAATGTTCCACATCACTCGGCATCAGTGATTCAAATCAAAACCACAATGAGATACCTCCTCATACCTCAGAATGGCTAAAATTAACAAGTCAGGAAACGACAGATGTTGGTAGGGATGCGGAGAAAGGGGAACCCCCCTACACTGTTGGTGGGAATGCAAGCTGGTGAGCCACTCTGGAAAACAATATGGAGGTTCCTCAAAAAGTTGAAAATAGAGCTACCCTACCACCCAGCAATTGCACTACTAGGAATTTACCACAGACACAAATGTAATGATTCCAAGGGACACTTGCATCCCTGTGTTTACAGCAGCAATGTACACAATAGCCAATCTATGGAAACAGTGCAAATGTCTATCGACAGATGAATGGATGAAGATGTGGTATATATATACAAAGGAATACTACTCAGCCATCAAAAAAAATGAAATCTTGCCATTTGCAATGACATGGGTGGAACTAAAGGGTATTATGTAAGTGAAATAAGTCAATCAGAGAAAGACAATTATATGATCTCACTCATGTGAGATTTAGGAAACAAAATAGAGGATCATAGGGGAAGGGAGGAAAAAAAAAACAAGATGAAATCAGAGAGGGAGACAAACTATTGGAGAATCTTAACCACAGGAAACAAACTGAGGGTTGTTTGAGGGGAGGGTGTTGGGGGCTGAGGTAACTGGGTGATGGACATTAAGGAGGGCATGGGATGTAATGAGCACCGGCTATTATATAAGGCTGATGAATTACTGACCTCTACCTCTGAAACTAATAATATATTATATGTTAATTAATTGAATTTAAATTTAAAAGCAAAAAGGAAAAAAAAAGAAACTGCAGGCATAGCATGTATAGATGAATTTGACTCTTTAGGTTTGGGTGAGACTCTGTTTGGATGATGTGCCATTTAGGGCACAGCAGCCTCAGCTGTGTACCATCTATTCCTCAGTCAGTCAGGGCCCAGTCAGGAGACAGAAAACACCACCAGTCATTGGAGAGAACTTGTTTTATTTTACTTTTTTCTAAGCCCATTCTGAAATAATTTTAGACTTTTAGTTTCAAAATTCATCCAGAGAATTCCCATATACCCTTCACCCAGCTTTCCCTAACATTAGCATCCTACATAACCATAGCCACAATACAATGGTCTAAACCAGGAAATGAATATTGATATAATACCATTCACCACACTACAGACTTTGTTGTAATTTCCATTTATCCCACTGATGTCCTTTTTCTGGTCCAGGCTCCAAACTAGGATCCCACATTTCGTTTAGTTTCCATGTTTCCTCAATTTCCTTTGTCTTTCATGACCCTGGCACTTGAAGAGTACTATCCAGTTACTTTTCAGGAATATCTTTCTATTGGGGAACCTGGGTGGCTCAGTTGGTTAAGTGTCCAACTCTTGGTTTCAGCTCAGGTCATGATGTCAGGGTCTTGAGATCGTGTCCCGAGGTGGGCTCCATGCTCAGCGGGGAGTCTGCTTCTCTCCCTCTCTCTCTGCCCTTCCCCCGACTTGTGCACCCTCATGTGGATGGGCATGCTCTCTCTCTCTCTCTCTCTCTAAAATAAATAAATAAATCTTGAAAAAAAGATATGCTAACCCACAGCAATTCATACTGGGGTTTCAAGTTTTACCCGAATTTTTCCTTAAAATTATATGTGAATAAAAGTTATCTGAAGGTGGGAGTAAACAGAGGGAATGAAGTTTAAGAAAAGCTGAGATACTTCTATGGGTCCTGCCTGTTTTAGAAAACTTGAAACATTCATTCCTAAGACTGCCACAAATAAAAAGTATTAGTATAATTTAGGTACATTTTAATATTACAATAACTATTGAATTCCGTTAGACATTTTACAAAAGTAGGCAAACTAGTTCTTGGTATTACCTGTTGAATGGGCAGACCAGTGGTCTTATGCAACGTATTACATAGAGAGCTGTTAAAAATGCAGGTCCTCGAGCTCCGCCCCAGCAATTCTGATTCAGATCAAATTGTCTATTTCATTTAAGGGTGTGGTGGTGCTTGCTTCGGCAGCACATATACTAAAATTGGAATGATACAGAGAAGATTAGCATGGCCCTTGTGCAAGGATGACATGCAAATTCACTTAAGGGTGTGGTCACTTTTATTCCTCAAGTTATGTATTCATTTATTGACTAATAGGCTAATTTTCCTCAGAAGATAATTCTGTTGCCTTTGGCATTAATAAAGGCAGGAGAAAATGATTATTAACAAAAAGAATTTAAGTAGTTTGTACAGCTCTAAACAATTTACAAAGTACTGTCAAAGGACAGTCAACACAGAAGAAGTGGAGTCAAGGAGTGGAGAGACACATAGGATTACAATGACACCATCTATTTGCCTAAAGCCAGTATACCCCTGGACTATTCATTTACATGAAACAATAAATCCCTTTTTTTTTTAATTAAGCTAGGTTGAACTGGGTTTTCTGACATATTAACTAAAAGAATCTCAACTGATAACAATTCCCCACAAATAGTTGTTGAATATATGCTTGAGTGAAAGATAGAAGTATACAGTAGCCAACACCTCCTGACATTTTTCTTTGGGTAAGAAACATTTTTGTTGTGTAGCACAGTTCCAGTGGCTACCATTTATGTGGAATATAATATTAATGGTGCTCTCCAGGATGTGGGCAACAAGGCAGCCCTGAGGGAAGATGATTGTGGGGTGAGAGGGAATCTCGTTCTTAGTGCTGCATCATTGATATCCTGGAGTCCCACTTCCCAAAAGTGGGCAGACCACGTTCTCTATGTTCCCTTGTGTTATGGATCCATTACTCTTCAGCAGTTCCATCCAGTTTTTTCTTCTATTAGGAGAAAGCCAGAAGCATTTAATTTGGCTGTGCTAAATAGTATTTAGAATATGTGTAGTCCTTAAGCTTAGGCCTCATTATCATGTACTTATAAATGATTATTATTTTTATTAAAAGTTTTATTCTATTGAAGTACTCATTTTACTGAACCAACCTATGTTGACTCAGGCTTTATAATGTATTGGTCTGTAAAATGTTCAAGTAGTCACAACTTTTAAAAAAAACTGGGGGAGTTCTTGCTCTATATCCATGCATTGACTTGAATTGAATCTTTCTTCCTTTTTTTTTTTCATTTGTATAGCTAGCTTCTTTGTACACTCACTTACTTAGTGGTTTGAAGAAATACAAGGAAGAGAGCATGTAGAAGAAAACTGACCTCTTGTTCCCATTTTAAAAATTTAGCAGTATGCTTCCTTAACAGGGCTTACCTCAGGGATTATTTTAGTTTTCTCCTGAAATTCTGTGACTCTCTTGCATTTAAGTGGCTCCTTTTGTTCAACTGGCATAGGTCCAGCTGAACCAGTTCTCAATGTCCAGGAAGTTGAGAAAAATCTGATTTGTTTTTCCCTATCTGCTAAGAAGGAACACATGTTGCTATGTACAAAAGGAAATGGCCAGTCTCTGAAAATTTCCCTTTGCAGTGTCTAATAGAATAATGTACAAGCATTTTTGTTGAAAATATTTTATCTTGTAATGTTTTTGCAAGCGGCCAAACCTAAGCAATATGTTTTATACACTTTCTCATTTAAAAAAATTAAGTCATCATTCAAGACTGTCAGTTTTACATTGAACTTTTATAACCACCAGGCTTTGGAAGGGTGACCCTACTCTGTATGACAGAAGAAGGTAAACAGTTCTAGGTAGCAGCCAGCATAGATACCTTCTTGCCTGGACTTATTTTCATAACTGTAGAAATTTTTCATTTCCATAACTTTTCCTTAAGATTTCAGAAATAGAGGGAGAGCAAGGCATAAAATATTTATCTGCTTATGACACCTGACCATAGCTGCTGGGTACATGAGCATCCCCAGAAGAAATCTTCATCAGTTAATAGGGAAACATTCCCCAATGTTATGTTTCTCTATTTGTGAAACATTCACTACTAAGTGAAAAGATACTTCCTGATGTCTTTTACTATGATGAATACTGAAGCAAGCAAACTATAGATAGAAACTTCCAATAATAGACTCAAATGCATAATGGAGAGATAGACGATGATACATGATAGATGATAGATAGATAGATAGATAGATAGATAGATAGATAGATAGATAGATGATAGATGATAGATAGATAATTTTATTTTTAGGAAGAAAAAGAATTGTCATCTTGAATAGCCGTATTTAATATAATAGTGCTTTTTATATCTCTCTTTTGAATTTAACACCCACCATGGAGATGTAGTAAAAATGAACTACTGCTTTTGTGCCTGAGTAGGATAAGCTGATTTTGGAAGAGGAGGCATGCTGGACTTTGGGAATGATGGAAGAGTAGTACAATACAACATTCTGAACCAGTGGGCCCACTGAGGACGTTATGCCTTTGGTATTACTCAATTCATTCATAAGTATGATTTAATAATGACATTGACAATGGTAAAGAAAAGTATTTTGTCATTAATTTGAAGACAAGATTTCTGGTTCCCAAAGTGAAATAGGAACGAACAAACTCTAAAAGCCCAGAAGAAATCTGGAACAAATAGTAAGGGTTAGTCCCTTATCATTCCACAGAATCAGGGTGTATGAAATCTTCACTAATGTAGTCATCTCTGAATATTTTAGTCTAGGAAACCAAAGCATGATACTATCAAGCTAAGAGATTCATTCAGTTTGGGATTATTTCTTTCAGACAACATAACTGGAGCCTTTATTTGCAATTGCTCCTACTTGTCAAAAATAATGGAAACTGGGAAAAAAAATTAATGAAATCAGAGCAATAGAAAAAGTCCCAGAAGTAATGTCACATAAGGCAGATGTTAATTTTAAAATATTAAAAGTGGAAAAAAATATAAAACTATATTTGCAGTAATATACCCAAATTTTGCATATAATAAAGCATCTCATATAAACCACGCACACAGAGTAAAACAGTTGAAAGGTTGTAAGTGTTAACAATGGTTATGTCTAAATAGTGGTCTTATAGAAGATTTTAAAACTCCTCTTTGTATTTTACTATATTTTTCACACTTTCTATCAAGAACAGTTGTTACTTTTTATTTTATTTTTTTTAAAGATTTTATTTATTTATTAGAGAGAGACACAGCGAGAGAGGGAACACAAGCAGGGGGAGTGGGAGAGGGAGAAGCAGGCTTCCTGTGGAGCAGGGAGCCCAATGTGGGGCTGGATCCCAGGACCCTAGGATCATGACCTGAGCCGAAGGCAGATGCTTAACAACTGAGCCACCCAGGTGCCCCCAGTTGTTACTTTTTAATTAGAGAGAAAATAAATGCTTTAAAATGTCTAAAGCTTTATACAAAATTTAATTTTTTAAATTTTTTAAGTTTTTTACATGAAATTTTAGAATAGTATTTCCTATTGAAGAGAAGCCATGTTGTTTTAAGTGTAAAAACTACTCAACATACAAAACTCTAACTGAATTGCAGAGCCTACATTATAGCATTTTCTTCTACAGGGCTTGCTACATTTTCTGGTTTGGTTAGATCCACTTTTATTTCTCCATAACAAAATTTTTCCACTTGAAACAGTACAGTATCTCTGCCTTTGCTGGTACCTTCTCTTCTCTCTTAGAATCCATGTCTATAAAGTCCTTTTTAATATGTGTCATAAACTGTCTCCCTTCAGGAAATCTTTTCTTATTAAACGTGTCCTAGGTTGATTGCTTTTTAATGTAAATCTTCAGCTAATGTGCATTTGTTTTTAAGATAGTAGTTTGTGGTTGTTGTCACATAGCTTTATATATAATTCTTTGTAATTTACTTTCTGTTGAAGCATTCTTCTGTGTCTAGAGGATAAATTCTCAGGGTACAGAGGCTAGAGCTTTGCTATGTTTGTTTCCTGCAAAACAACTGGAATAGTGAATCTATACTAATCAAGCAGCTGAAAATATACAGTGACATGTGAACCAAGAATCCTATGAGAAAAATTATGAACAGAGGTAATTAGGTAAAATTCTGAACCCTTGGCTGCTGGTTGAATCAAATCTCTCTTGATGGTGTTTGATCAGGTATGCTGGTTATATCCAAACTATTTCAATAATGTGGGTGTGGATGAAAATGTGTCTTTGCTATCTGTTCCTCATTTTGCATTATGGACTGACTGGTTTTCAGAGACAGGAACCCTAGGATGTTGACCCAGCTTCAGATTCCCTAGCAGCTTACTGACCACTCTCTTAGACTTAACTGATAATTTTTTATTATTCCCCTACACTGGATAGTGTTTGGTAATTGGATGTTGTGTAATTTTGAATTATTTTTATGTCTTCTGGGGTCAGTTCTAAAATCACACAGTCATAGCAACCAGAGAATTATTTACAATCTTAGAAAGTCTTTATAAATGCACAGGCTGAAAGTTAGTTTTGTCCTTATTGTTGCTGTTTGTACATATTTAGACAGCTTTCTTTTTCAGTAAGTCCTTTATGAAATGTGTCATTTGACAAAGGGTCGTATTAGAAAGTTTAGAGCAGGGAGTTAACATGGCCAGATGCTTATTCTTTCCAGGAATATTAGTTTTTAGAAAGGGAGATTCGGGGAGCAACTGCTTTATATAAAAGAACAATCTGAGGGAAAAATTGGGGGAGTAGGGTAGAAAGCTACCTAATAGACAATTTCTTATCTCTACTGTAAGGTTTTTCTCCACATCCAACCAGATGGACTTGTGCTTATGTCTCGTGGATTTGCTGCTGTTGTGGCATTCTGCTGGCAGCGAGGGAGAGGACTGGAGTAATGCCTATGTTTATCTCATCCAGCTTCATGTTTGATGTGAAACATCATTCTTGGGATGACATTTTACAGGAGCTGCACTAGCTGCTGGCCTATCCTTACACTCTCTCTCCTGCTGTTAACTGAGCAGGAGGATAACCTAGAACAGTGGGAATTCAAAACATGTTCTGTGCCAGTGACAGAAGAGCCAAGGATGGACCAGGCTTAGGTAGTCTGAGATAAGCTATCTTATTTTTGTTTCGTTTTGTGCTTTCCCCCCTTTTTCTTGAGCTGTGGTATGGCCATGCCAGGCTTCTAAGTCGTTAAAATCCTAGTAGGCACAAGGAAACATTTCTCCTCAGTTTATTTTGCCTCCCATAGAAGTCTTGGGAGCACTGTTTGCCGAAGAGTTTC